ACCCCGACCAGCAAACTTCGACCAATAAGCCTCGTGTCTTGTTGGTGGAGAATTTATGTGAGTGCCCGCTTAGATGGGGACATCGAAAGACGTTGGTTGGAATCGCATTTGTTGACTACCCAGGCTGGAGGTAGGCGCAATCGAGACAGTCAAGGTAGCTTTTGTGAACTTGCTGAGGGATTTGCCAAAGGAGCCTATGTGGGATCATTAGATCTCTCCAAGTGCTTCGACCATGTGCGCCCGAGCTTGGCTTGTGATACTTTAGTTTGGAAAGGTTTTCCCCGAAAATTGGCGGCTGCTATTCAGAAAATTTGGGAAGGTCAATTGCGTATCCTTTCGTGGAACAAAGAAGTGTGCCCCCGAATCCAAGGTGTGCGTAGTAGCATCCCGCAAGGCGATAGTCTTTCGCCGAGAGTTCTCAATTTGATCATGAGTATGCCCATGCGTCATATTGTGCAACAAGAGCCTGACACTTGTCACGTTGTTTTTGTCGATGATAGATCTTGGTGTTCTCCCACCTTGCCTTCCTTTCTGAATGTTCTCCATCTTTGGCATGAACACTCGGCAAAGCTGGGATTCAAAGAAAACAAGCTTAAAAGTCAGTTCACTCACAGGCAGCCTACCAAGCGTCAAGATATGATGCAGTTAGAAGAGCTGTGCAATGGAGTGACTGAAAACCTTTTTGCCTTAGGCGCTGCTATGGGTTTTGGGTCCATGCTGCCTAAGGAACAAGGCCGCATTGAAAAGGCAATGGCTTGTGCTGCTAAGGTTCGTTTGGCTCCTATCTCAGCAGCTCGAAGATCGTTTGTTGGCGCACTTGCCGCAGGTAGCAAAGCAACTTACGGGTGGTTGGTCCGTGCTCCCCCTGGAACCGGGCTCATGTCTAAGTTGGAAACTCGTCTCCGAAGCATGTCCTCTCCTGCGCTCATTAGGTTGGTGATGGGTCACCCAGTGGACATTCAGTTTCAATCTGGTGCGGCGCTCATCGGTGCAGTTCATCGCACTGTTCGTCGGATCCGAAGAATCTTCAGTGATTGGGACCTCTCTGGAGGTCCGGCTCAGAGAGCCAAGAAATGGCTTCAGTCTCTTGGATGGTCATCTGTGGTGCCTTGGGTTTGGCAACACCCTGCATTCCATTTCAAGCTTAGTCTGAATCCTAGCTCAGAAGACTGGTCTGATGATTCTGAGTGGATTGCTCATCTCCTTCGCGAGGCATGGAGGTGCCATTGGTGGCAAAAGTACATGGCATCCCAACGTCATGAACTGGTTGAATTTGGGGATAGGGAGTACCCAAAGTTGCTTCTTGAAAACACTCGGAAAATGACTTCGGGTGCCAATAAGAATGTTATTGCTGTTTTGACGGGTGCATTTGTGTCTCCGCAGATGCGGACAAAGCAGGTTGACGATGTTCAGGAAAAGTGTCCGTGGTGTGACGGCTGTGGTCATTTTCATCATGTGGCATGGGAGTGTCAAAATTCTCCTCAGGTGCGAAGTCGCCCGGTTATTCCTCAGGATCCATTAGTGCGAAGATTTGGTTGGGGTGATAATCAGGTGGTGCAACATTTGGCCGCTTGCCGTGACCTGCTCCTGAGGTGCAGGTACGGTGGCAACTAAGGTGGTAGTGCTTTGCGGGTGGTGGGCCCTCTGCTGCGTGGTGCAGCGGAATGGTGCGGCTTTGCTGCGCCGAGTGGCCGCTGCCGTTGTCTATGCTGCTGCTGCTGCAACTGGAAGCTGCCGAGCACGAGTTTGTGAATAAGAGCAGGCAGTACCAGCAAAGGCTGGGGGAGATGGAAATGCAGCTTGTGCATCAGGAGCAAAAGTTCTTGGCGCGGTTGGCCATCGCCTACCTACCGCGAACGCGACAAGGAGCGCGCAGAACTTGAAGCCGCCAAGGAACGCCGCGCTCGTGAACTCCATGAGGAATCCTTGCGCGCACAGATGGCGCATGAGGAGGCTGCACAGCTTCGTCGGGAGATTGCAGAGGTGCAGTCTGCCCTTGAAGCCGCTTACCGCGGCCGGGAAGCGGCGGAAGGCAAAGGAAAGAGTTCCAAGGGAAAGTATGAAGATGACTCTGCCTCCAAGGGTAAGGGAAAAGGCAAGAGCAAGTATGATGATGAGCCAAAGGGCAAAGACAAGGGCAGAGGCAAGTCCAAGAGCAGTGGTTACGAGGCCTCCTATTCCTATGCGCCGTCAGGCAAGGGCCGGTCCTCTGATTGGTCCTATCAGGTCCGCAAGGGTAGCTGCGGCAAGTCCCAAAGCTGGGGAAGGCGGTGACTACAGCAGAAGATTCTCCTCTTCCGACGAGCACCCCCCTCCCCCCGGTTAGTCCGTCAGGGCGATAGTGCCTTCTTTATTATCTGCATCGTGTGTTCCTTCTTTCCCGGCTCGTTTGGAGTCGTATTCTCACAACTTTGCAATGTCTTTTGTGTGGGGCCCCTTCGCTTCCAGGCGCTCTATCCAGTCTATCTCCCCTTTGGGGTTGTATGCCATTGGGTACCTACAAGCAATTGACTTCCCAACTAGGGTCACTGCTACAACCCGGCCCTGACTCCTTCCACCCATGGTTTCACACCTAAATACCATTTCCTTGAAACTTCAAGCTCATCGTCTTACTGTTGGACTTGTTTTTTCCCACATTTCACTACCTTCTTCCTACTGCCATCTCTGCTGCTCAGGTCCCAATCATTCTCAACTGAGGTCATGAAGTGCTTGTCCAGCTTCGACTGACATTCTCAGAGATCATCATATGGAAAAGGGAAAAAGGGGGGGCGGAAAACCCCGCCTTTGTGCATTGATGTCTCGTTGCAATATGGCATGTCCGGCTGGTACCGGCTCTATGATGTGCCTAACAACCGCACGCAGCATTCCATTCACATGTCACTTTGTCAAACTCAGGCTCAAACCAACATGGATGGGTTCCAAACACGTGCCTTGAACTTGGCACTGGAGTTGGCCGAGCGCACTGTCCATCAGTATGGAGAACATGGGCGTGTAGCCGCTTCTCCTCCTGTGCCTCCTGCGAGACCACGGTCACGCTCTCCCATCCTCCGGCGTCCCCGTGAAGCCAGACGCCCGGACTCTCCTGAAACCCCTTCTCGCCACAACGTGGGTGGCAAGAGTGTTGGTCGAGGACCTGAAGGACAATCCAGAGGCACTGGCAAGGGTGGCGGCCATGCCCACCACAAAGGCAACACACGCAGCATCGGCACTAAAGGCACACGCAGAGGCTCCAGCAACGGCAACAACAATGCTGACAACGGCAAAGGGAGCACAACCACCCGCCAGCACCGCGGCAAGGGCCCGGGCAGCCGAATAGGTGTTGGAAAAGGGAAAGGACGTACGAGTGCAGCCGTTGGGCGTGGGCATGCCCGACCCGTGACCCTCTTCACAAGCCAGCCCCGCAGGCCACCACCCCAACCTCCCGCTTCCCGGCCCACCCCTCCCAGCCAGCCCCCCCCGGTCTTCCCCAGAGCCCGGCAGCACCCAAACACACCGGCGCCGATTGCGCAGGGAGAGGCTGGCTAGTGCCTTGATGCGCCCTGCCCGCGTCCTCCTACCCCAGCAACTTCCGCCAGGTGTATTTGTCTCCCCTTTGCCTGCTGACTTGTCGCATGCTGCTGTGAGTGGGTTGCGGCAGGCTTTCTTCAATGCCAGTGAGACCATCGCTGGCTTGGAAGGTGATGTCGAGGCATTCCCCCTTGGACAGGGCGTCCATCTAGTTCACAGGGCATTGGGCAACAGAAATATCAGACAGGCAGTGGCAGCTGAGCTTGGGGATTTCATGAACACTCCCATCGGTCAGCTGCGCATCCAGATTACATCCAGGCCTGAAACACCTGCAGCGCTCGCAGACATTCCTGGCTGCCCCTATGGACGTGTCTTTGGGGCGTCAGGTGCTGAGGGATCGACAGTTTGTAGTGTTTGCTTGGAAGAAGCTTATCAGCCAGGACAAATGCTGGTTCGCACGTATTGTCTTCACGTCTTCCACTACGAATGCCTTTCCCAGTGGATTGACGAAGATGACAGATGCCCACAGTGTAATGTGCGTATGGTAGATTACCGTGAGCCTTGAGCTCCTGAAATGGACCGGTAAAAAGATGTCGGCTGCGCACTGCATGACTTGACTCTACCAATTCAGATGCGTACTGACACTTGCCAATCAGGGATCTACCTCCTGTATGGGTCACACTGCCAGCTTAGACCACATTTCATGAATGCCTGAACTTTGCAGCTCTGATCTTATTGCATGTTTGGCCGCAGCTGTTTGAAGTAAACCAAGCACATAGTCACTTTCACCAACCTAGCCTTAGACGACACTGCATGCGGTGGTGGGATCTGACCGTAACATGCTCATGTCTTAGGCAACTTCCACCTCTTACCAAAATTACTGCACAAAAACAAAACCACAGCCTTCTGTCTCCTTCTGTCTAACTTTCTCTCCCTTAACTTGACCTGTTCCTTGTCTCCCTGCCCTGCCTAGGTAAGTCAGGGGGAGGAAAGGGAAAAAGGAAAAAACAAACAAACAAACAAAAAAACAAATATATATATATATAAGGACCAGCCTCTGTACATCTCCGCCTTGGCTCTTTCTGCGCTGGGAGCATCTTCTACCAGGCTTGGCCTCGTCCTACTCTGTCTGCCGGCCCCTGTGTGGCTGTTCGGCCCCGGTGAGGCCTCCTGCCGGTCCCTGTGCGGCCTCTTGGCCCCAGTCCGGCCTTCATTGCCTTCTGTTGCCGGCCCCTGTGCGGCCTCTTGGCCCCAGTGCGGCTTCCACCGTCTTCTGTTACCGGCCCCTGTGCGGCCCTCGGCCCCGGCGTGGCCTTCCTTTTTTTCCGCTTCAATCAGTACAACTTGCCCGGTCCTTTGATATGGATTTCCTTGCTCCCAACCACCAGGATTCAGAGTCGGATTCTGAAGCTGGACAAGTGTCAAGAGAAAATCTTCAGGTCGGTGCTCGCATCCCATGCCCATTGTTTCAAGCGCAATGTATCGGCGATGACATGACATGGAGGGGCAGTAAGGTTCTCCGAGTCGCTGCTCTGCAGGCTGGACGGACAGGGACAGATGCCCGTTTTGTTGGCAGATGGTGGGGCTCTTCCCTCACACAATTGGGAGCAGACCTAGGCTGTGTCTCCGAAATTGGGTTGTCCAACTCACAGCTTGCCCCCCTCCTCCTGGAAGGTTTTTCAGATGCCGGATTTACAGCCATCTGCCATGGGCCTCCTGAAGAGGGATTGGCCCCTCGTGGCGGGGCTGGTGTCGCTCTTGTAGTACGTCGCTCCATCATCTCCACTTGGTCTGATATCTCACGGGATCGCTTAGGGCGTTGCATTGCAAGCACTCTGTATCTCTCCTCAGGTCTACCGCTCCGTGTCATTGGGGTGTATGCCATCACTGGAAGCAGCCTGCCGGGCTTTGAAGGCAACGCTTTCCAAGTTGCTGCTGAATCGCAACTAGTCCGTTTCATTCAAGAGCAACTTCAAGCAGCTGACGTTCAAGGCATGACATGCCTGCATTGCGTATGTCCCTCTTGTTGGTCTTCCTCCCCCGATTGAGCTCCACAAAATTGACGCGGCCTTCCAGCATCTCCTTCTGGCAGGTCTGGGTGTTTGCTCCACTGTGGAGCGCATGAGTCTGCTTGTGGCCGCATCCAGCGGCGGCCTCCAAATTCCCAGCGTCGTTGAAAGCGTGCTAGCGGCTGCTGCTTCGGATCTGCTGCTCCTCCTCAGTGGTTACACAACAGCATCCATCCTTGCCCGGGATGCGTTACAGGAGGTTCTCTTCCTCCCCGGAGCGGAAGCCACAAAACAGTTCACGTGGGCTTTAGGGCCGACGGCTGATTGCTCTGACTCCGTGGTCTAGAGGGCAGGACAGAAGCCCATGTACTGGATATCGGATAGCAGCACGGACCATAGCATGCCGACGGAAAAGGAAGCTTCGCTTGCACAGTGCTTGTTGTTTTCTTCGGCTGTGTAGAGTCACTGACTGGACTTGTCTGCTTTGCTGGATTATTTTCTTGTATCGCCGTCGCCGTTCAACCTCTAGCTGAGCCAACTTGTCTACAACCATTCCATGCACACACACACACACCCACACTGTTCGCAATTTAGTCTACATGGCAGTTTATTCTAGCACAACATCGATTCCGGAATCGCGTGGGCCGCGATTACAAAATTTGAGGCTGCTGATTTCAGACAAGTTGTGAAATTGTTTCCAACCATGCCATCGTCCGGTGCTTTGACAGGTATGTTGCCCTTCCTTCTTTATGTCGTTTTGGTGGAGGCATGGCGCCGCAAAGTACGGCATCTACATCAATGTGCAAACAGACCGCTTTACATCACGGGTTCTCGATGGGCTGCCAGCACAGTCTGCCCACCTTCTGGTTGGTCCATACAAGTCAACACCTCCCTCAGTCACAGTGGCTCGGGTTGGATTCGTGGCCAATACTTTCCGATTGCTTTTCCAATCATGGGACATGGAAGGGCGGCCAGCTCATAGCCGGTCAGCCGTTGGATTGTGGCAAGAGGTTCTACCACCTGCATTCCCTTTCACAACTCTCCAATGTTCCCGCGCTGTCGCGCATGCGCAAGCTATGGCACGGCGGGACTGGTCTACCGAGTGCTCCCTCTTCCGGCCAGGCTTCCCGCCCCCCCAGATTCCTGAAGAATGGCCAACCACTGCTTGGGAACATCCAGTTTTGTCCGCCAGCCCACGAGCTGACTATCTGGATTCCTTCACACCATTTCCCACGGGTGCGGACTTTGGCATACTCAGCGATGGAGGATTCTCTGGGGGCGATAAAGCGTCCCAAGCCCGCTCCTTTGGTGATCCTCCCGGGTATTGGGATTCCAGCACTCGTGATGTGCGTCGTGGGGCTGTAGGGTGAAGCCAGTTTCCCGCGTGGGTTTCGGAGACGTGACGCGTGTATGTCTCCAAGGGTCCCCGAAACATGTGAAAGATTTGGCTCAGGGTCAAGACAGAACATCCCATGTGAGATTTTGAAAAGCAAATACGCCCACTGGGGTCCTTTTCAATGGCCCCGTTAGTAAAGGCAAAAAAAAAAGTAGGGCCACGAGCGTTGCTGCAACCCCAACCAAAAAACAAAATTGTAGGGCCACGAGCGTTGCTGCAACCCCAAACCTTGTTTTTTTTTTTACTTCCCTGGTAAAAACCAACAAGACAAAATTGTAGGGCCGAACGTTGCTGCAGCCCCAAACCTTGTTTTTGAAAACCATATTTTGCAGAGATGCCAGTTGTTTGACAAGGTAGACATCATGTTTATCTGGTGCAGGTCCATTTTTGTGACCTTACAAATTACATGAGTGCTTGCGCTGATAGGTTTGGATTGCTTGGGTGTGTGGGATAGGTCGTTTTCCGGGGGCCGGCCATCGAATTTTTGAAAACAAAAACTGACTTGGGAAATTTGTTTCAAACACAGGTTTTGTGCAGCAAACCGACTCGTGACGTGATTTTTGACACCTGAAGTTCTGAAGTTGGATCGTTCAGCGCTGCTTTGCCGAAGCCGTTTCTTCACCCATGCTGCATCCCAGAATAGGTTCAAACAGTTTTTTGATATATTTCCCATACCCAGCCTTCAACACAGAAACCGTGTTTGTAGCGAGCAGGAACAACATAGAATAGTTTTGAGATAGCAATTTATCACGGAAACAAAACCACAATGAATTCAATATGTTTTTGCGGGGGTCTTTTTTTCTTGGGCCTATGGCCCCATGGAGCCAACTGCTCAAGTACATCACCATTCTTTGGTGAGAATTCTCAAGCTTGTTTGTGCTGGTGGTGGAAGCGACCCAATCACCACCACCAAGAAAGGGTTGTTGGACTTCTTGGAGCGTGTGAATCCCAAGGGGCCATCCAGCAGACCAGATCAAAACGCAACTGCCCGCGCCGCTTATGCGAGAAAACTCGCTCGGACACTGAAAGGGCATCCGGAGTTGAAGGTCGGAACAGTTCAAGGGGATCTTCACAATGAAGTTTACAAGATTGACGTAGTCAAGCATGTGTTGGAAGATTTTTTGGGTGTGTTTTCTCCTTCGTCCTGGCTAACTTTGCTTACTTCGATTGAACAATGTGCAGCCGAAGGGAATTTGCGGAAGAACCCTTCTGTAGTAGGTGAAAGCTCATCCACAAATCAATCTCCAACACAGGTCCTCGTCGAGGATTTGGAACTTGAAGGCTTGCATGACGCACCAGCCCAGTTGTACCCCTCCTTGCCTGATTCAGAAGGTGTCAGCGTAGTGTCCCAACAAGATTCACTTCCAGTGCCAGGAGCTCAGCAGATACCGTTTGGCCCAATGAAGATGAATGCCAATAAGAGGAGGAAATTGGAAGAGACAGCAGGTTTCTTGCAGTACCAACAAGTATACGGTGGACATACTTGGTCGGATTTGCTTCTTGAACTCATGAACAGGGACCAGGCACTAGAGGGACAGCACACAGAAAACAAAAAGCAAAGAGACACCATTGAAAAACTTCAAAAAAAACAGAGACTTTTGTTGCAGTCCCAGCGCAGGATTGGAAAGGCAGTCACCGTGTGGAAAGCCAAGGCTAAGGGTAAAGCCTTGCCAGGGAAAGCATGTCCAAACTCAGGCGATGCAGTGTCCATCGAAGACAAGCTGTCCATCAAAAGGACGGGGGCAGCTGGTGAGGGGCGCTACTTGACAGTGCCCAGTCGTGTTAGCCTCAGTATTCGCAGAAATTTGTCCAACATTGCTTGTGCAGACCTGGGTTTGGTTTTACTGGACGATGCTTCGAGATGGACTATTGCAAGGGCTGAAGTTCGCACTGGAGCAGCGTTGCTCGCATCAGGCCGTGCTTTTCATCGCAGCATGATGGAGGAAATAGCCCAGGAACCTTCAGATGGGGCACCCTCGCTACATATACACTTTATAACGCAAGATGCCACGAACTCTCTGAAACGGAAGCTGACAGCATTAATTTTGCATTCCGCATGGTGCCAACTGCCATCTGATATGGATGTGGATTATAGCTTTGACTGGAAAAGGTTTCAAACTTTTCATGGGGTAGCAGACGTGCAAACAGTTTCTGATTCGTCCGCTGTGGCCACAGTTGGTCTTACTGACAAGATGCTGGAGTCTTTGGCATGCCCTTCAATCAAGACTTTGGTGAACATGGGCATGGATGACTCTGCCCAGAAGCCGTTTGGCCGATACGCTCATAGGTTTCCGTTACCGTTTCTATTTGATGGTTTTGCAAGGAATAACCCAAGACGCATTTCCTCCGATTTTGTCTATTGATCCTTCTTGCCTGTGCCTTCTTTTGGTTTTCCTTGTTCAAAATCTCCCCCCATGATGAGGCAATCCTTCCACATCTACATCTTGACAACTGACAGAGGCCCAAACGAAGTCCTTGCGAGAAAGATTTGGACAACCTTGTCCCGCGATTATCCCAACATTATCAGTCTCAGCTCTGATTGCCTGGAGCATGCTGGCCACCTCGTGAGCCTGGGTAGTTTCAAAGCATTGGATGATGTTCTGCGCAGGTTTGGGCGGAAATGGAAATTCTTCAGCTCTGTTGCAACAAGCGCTCACACCTTTCGCGACCTGAGCAAAAGTTTTTATGAGACATGGTGCAAAATCCATGGGCCAGTTTCAGGGCTCAAGCATGCGAAGAAATTGTGGCCCAAAGTTGTGGGGGGACGGTGGAACAGCTGCAGTGAGGCGTTGTCTCGTATGAAGCAAGTTGGGGGCCAGTCTGTGCTGCAGCCGGTTCTTCAGGCAATACTTACTTCGAAGGCTTCCAAGGCATCTTCAGAAAAACGTGACGCAGGTCAGAGTGAGGGAACTGAAAATGACAGATCCCGCTCATGCGTTGATGAGATCTCTTACGAAGAAACCAAAAATTTTCAGGCTAAGATGGGAAGGTGGCGGAAACGAACTCAAGATTGCGTCGAGGATGCCTTGTGGTGGGTTATTGGAGAAGGAATGCGAATTGCTCAGCTGACAGTGGTTCACTTTTCTGAAACTCAGTTGGTTTGATACTATTTTTCTAGTCACTGGCACTGGGTAGTCACCTTTGACTTCCTTCCACAAACATTGTGTAGGGTTTTGTATAGGCTCCCACATTCCGCGTTGAGTTAGCCTTGTTTGTTGTAATTTCTTCGCTATACTTTCCTGTGATTCCTCGATCCTCCTCATCCAGGGAAAACGATTTTCCAAAAAATGGGTATTCAAAACGGATGGGGGTTGACCCCGCATTTTTTATGAAAAAATGCCAGGGTCAAACAAAAGGGTTAGTAACAGATGTTGGAAACCCCCATTCTAGAGAGCCTTCTTTGGAACCATGTGCGTTGTAGACCCGTGCGCCCATTTGGTGCACTGACCGAGGCTTTTCTGAAGAAAAGGATCCATTCAGAGGAGCTGGACAGGTTTGGGAACACCATGGCGCAACTGGTGGATGGCAGGGCTGATGCATTTGCGCATGAATACGTTGTGCTTTTCCATTCCAACGCTGGCCAATTGAACCAGCACCCAGACTGGCCGAAACTTTCAGGTGCCGAAGCGCGGTTTGCGTGGAGAACTTTTGCATTGCTTCTCTTCCAAAGTGCCAGCTCCTTCAATCGGAGGGTTGTTGCTCCTTTGAGCTCTTTGCCATACTCACTTCTGTCCATGGGGAGAGTTCGGCATGACTTACCAGATGAAAGGAGGAAACACTTAGCAAAACTCATACTGGAAACACCCATGACGCTTTTGGACATCAACACGTTGAAAATTCGCAACGCTTTTCGGAGCGACTTGGAGAGAGCAAGCAAGAATGGAAGACTGGGAGCCCGCTTGTTTACGACCATTAAGGCTATGAGGAGAATGTGGCGGGCAGAAGTCCGCGAGAATGAGCGGCTGAACAAGCAGTTGAAGTTGTTTGGGGAGCGTGCTCCCAACAGTTCCCTCGATCTCATCAGCGCCCGTTTGGCTCTAAAGTTTCGCTTAGGAACAGCTGGGTTGAGACAGGAAGAAATGGAATCATCCAAGCCCAGGAATTGGACCCGAGTCCGCCCCATGGCAGCAAACGTTTTTGACACATGTGTGGGCCATTGGATGGATGCTTCGTCCGAAGTTCTTTCTCAAGCAGCCAGGTTTCAGGAACCGCCTTTGCCAGATTGGTGCCCAAGCAAAGAGGAGGTGCATTCTTGGACCCCGATTCTGCAGCCATCAATGCAGCTTCATGGAACAGCAGCCGGCAAAATTCTTTCTGCATTGGTGAACCGAACCTTGTACCAATTTCTGCAAGGCAAGAGCACTGGCAAGATTCGAAACCCTTCAGAGTTTCCTGAACCGTACTTTTCAGCGATAGCCTTGGTTCAAGATGGCCGCTTGCAACATGGCCGCCCATACAGACTATCATCCAGCACCCCAGTGTATGTGTTTTGTGAAACGGTCAACAGGGCTGTGCGGGTGCTGAAATCTGAGTGGACTGGCACGCGAATTATTCCAAGTCAGCCATGGCAGTTCATGTGGGGTGCAGAAGTGGTTTCCGATGATATGGTTGGTACACCATTTACCTTGATTGCTTTCCCTGTTCATTGGCAGCCTGTTGGTGTGAATGACGGCGTGGACGGTGTGGCACTGGAAGGGACTTGCGTGTCAAAAACTGGTGACCTTTCCCTGGTGACAATCAGTTTCTGGGAGGAGGATACTTGGATTTTGTTTTATTTGTTTTATGGCGGGGCTGCTGTCTAAGTTTTTCTTCTGCCCAGCCCCGCGTAAAAATCCAGGGTACACAGGGTTTGTCACCAAATTCTTGTCCCCATTGCTTTTGCCAGCGATGCTGAGGTCTTCAGCACTGATGGGGCCGGAGCTTCTTCTGCACCTGCAGCTGTCGAGAGTTCCACTAGCGATGCAGATGATGATGAAAATGAGGATGGGGCTTCGCCAGAAGAAGTGCCCGAGCCGACAGTCCCCCATCCCCAATCACTGAAAGATAGGCGCCGTAAAGGTGCTCCCAAGAAACCGCCTCGAGAGGAAGCCACAGTAGAGGCAGCCGCTCACAACATCCCATGGCTATCAAAACTATTGCAAGGAGTTGAAGTTCAAGACGACAGTGGTGAGGGTACGGTTATTTCTGATAGCTACAGCAAGCGTAGTCCAGCTGAAAAAGTTCTTGATTCCAAGCCCACCTCGCGCCTAGCTGCTGTAGCTGCTGAGCTGGTTGCAGATGCTTTTGGGCCGATTTCCGACCCTAAATTCCAAGATGACTTGGAAGGACAAGAGGAGCAGATTGAACAGGACATTGGGGAGGAGTCTGGGATCAGTGACATGGCAAAGCGTGAAGGTAAGCTGGTTCAGCATGCCTGCGATGAATTTGCGAAGCTATCAGAAACAACTGCTAGCAAGTCTGCTTTGCTAGAGGAAAACTTAGGGGCTGCAATTGCCCAACATGTGGACATGGGAATGAACCCGGAGGAAGCGGCTGAGGAGGCCATGCTCAATCTTGACTATTTGCTGGGCAACCAGTCAGACGTTGAAGCAGCTCATGTTGTTTTGCCCCATGGTGGTGACGATGATGCAGCCATTGCGGCTGCTGCAGCTAGCAGAAGCAGAGCCATGAATTCCGAAGCTTTCCGGAGATGGGTCGAAGAAGTTGCGCTGTCTGCGCAGGCTTTGCAGTTCAAGGTGTCAGCACAGAATCGGGCCGTTGGCGAAGGGGGTGAGCTCTCTTTGGTCTTCGGAAAGATTGCAGAGCCCAAGGCTGGCCCTGCTGAAGGGTCAACTGAGGAAGAGGAAAGCCAAAGCGTGTTTTGGGTCCATTGGAAATTTGCCGGAGAGTTGGGAAGACCAGCTACACTTGACGGAGAGAACAGGGTGAAATGCCTTGTTGCTACTGGGAAACTGAGAGATGCTCGCGACTATCGTTCCGTCGAAATTCTCATTCCAGCTGTCGGCGTCAAGATGGAACGTGTTAGAGGGTTCAGGGCACAGTTGCGACCACAGATGCCAGAGACTAGCATGCGCCTGCATGACATGTATCAGACTGCCATTCTTGCAAAAGACTCTTCAGCCTCTTCAGCTAGGCTTCAGCAGGAGTCGCAGGCCCCATTAGAGAAATATATGGCAAGGACAACCGGGGCTGACGAGTGTTTTGTGTGCGGAAGTTATCACATCAAGCATGTGGCCCAACCCGGGCAGCGAACTCCAGTGGCAGACCGTGTTCAAACCTGTCCTTTCTGCCTATTGCCAGGCCACTTTACTTGCAGGAGTGGTTTAGTTGAACATGCGCAAAGTCACGAAGTTGTTTCATTTCCTCCTGGTGTGGATATTGAGTCACTGGACCTTCCAGACCACTTTGACGCGGATGAGCCGCATCTTTGTCGCAGTCAGTCATCTGTTGCCGTCACGGTAAGTGATCGGGAAAACTGCCGTCTTCACTTTGATTTTTTCAAGACAATTGGTGGCAGTGACAGAGTCTTGGAATCATTGTTCCCTTGCCTTGAACGGCCAATCTTTGAATGAAGACAACTTGACCATTCAAACGTCAATCATCCGCGTTTGTTATGCCCAGGTGGAAGATAAAGATTCCCTTTCAACTCTGGCATGCCTAGGATTCTTTGCAGGATGTGCTTGGTCTTTGTATTCCCTGACCTCGCCAACTGTACTTCTGGAGGCGGGCCAGGGTGTTTGTCATGTGCAGGGGCATTCGGCCAGTCTTTTAGTTGCAAGGCGTACGTAACGTATATAGATGGAGCTCCTCTCTTGTGTGGGATGGCAAGTTTGCCACCTATCATCTGGCCCTGCCACTTTCATTTTTCGACGTCCCACAGACCCCTGCTCTTTGGCATAGGTCGTGGCGAAGGATGTGACGGAGATCCTTGCACCGGCGGCGCTCCTGGCAGTTCAGGCAAGCGACTGACCGCAGAGACTGGGAAGGAGAATTGAGTTTTAGGAACATGGCTTCTCTTGTTGTGGTGTTAGAAGATAACAAGTGTAATGAACAATGTTGTGTTGTTGAGGGAAGAAGCCGGCTTTAGAAACTTGTTGAATTGGGAAGTATGAGCACGAGGCCAAATTTCCGAGTTGCTGAATCATCATATTAATTTCTTAGTGGTCTGGTGCACCATGAAGCCACTTGCCACTGCGAAAGGTGGAAGTGGAAGTGGCAGAAGTGACAAGGAAGCCGCCGGCCAGCCTCAGGCCTGCAGCTAGAGGGTGGAGCGCATTGTAGTAGGTTTGTTGCGGCAGGTCCAGCATCTCCGAATCTACAATGTTCTTGCTTTTGGATTGCATACCGTGGAACCTCCACCTCTGTGCCCTGCATGGCTGTATGCTATGATTCTCTATGATGTCATATATAGATTGTGTCCAACTTTTTTTGGTAAGCCAGAACAAGTTATTTTCATTGTTCTCATTGGCCTTTAGATTCGGGATTGGGCGCGATAGGAACATGAATGGTGAATGAAGCGTGGTGACGCCTGAAAGGACTTTTCAATTTATCGACAGTTCGGAAAAACTATTATTTTGTTCTCTGAGAGGTTGGAAGCTATAGAGGGTTCTTGGTGGGGATCAAGCGCGATGGAAGGAAATAGCGGCTTTATTTCGTTTCAGTCCTGCTAGAGCCTAGCAGCCTTGAGTATAGTCCTGGGAGGAGAATGCTGCATTGCTTTTGCGGGCCCAAGTTCCGTTTCCAAGTACCATCGGACCATTTGATACAAGTTTGGCGCAGGTAGCTTGAAATGGGGCATACTTGCAATTTGCATTTCGCCAATTTCGAACTTCCAGTCTGGTTGCTCGCAGGGGTGAGAACAATCGGGTTCATCGCTTGCTCGCCCAGGTGGAAACATAACAATGGCTGAATGAGGCTGAATCCTGGGCCCTGGGCAGGGCACTGATGCGTTGCTGGTGGGTCAGATGCATTGCAATATCTTCACTTCACCTTCGTTTGTCGTTTTCTGATGGCACGAGAAATGTAGGATTGTTTCAACCTAGCCCTTTGAATCCAGCGCTCAAGGAGGATGCGGATCGGATCCGAGTTTCATTATGGCATTGGT